GGAAGACCCATGACATTCATCCATAAATGCTTATGAATGTCCTTTTAGCATAATGGTGCCATTTTCAGCATCAATAGAGAAATTAAGGCCTATGAGAAAGAGACCTGACTTCAGAACGGTGCTCTTCCGCGGGGAAGCGGCGAGTATCCCGAATCTGGCCCATTTCAAAGCCAGCAAGAGGAGGGAATTTCAATGGTCTATAGTTATCCTCCTTATGGGATGAACTTAAAACTCTCAAAACTCACTTTGAGGGCCAAAAACTTACACAAGGCCCTTCATTTTCAAAGGGGTTTCATGTCACACTGAAATGCATCTGAAGCTGGCTGAGGTTCAAAGAGCTGTAATATTTCTTTCCACGTTTGTTCCTTAATTAAGCTTTTATTAACGAATAGACTCTCCAGAGCAGTGATCGGGCCCGTATTCGCGCCAAACTTCAGAAAACCACACATTAATTATTCAGGGTGCTCCCAAAAGCTGTTGACTCTAGAACACAAAGTGCTAATTAGAGAAAATTAAGCCAGTGCATCCCCCCCCCCCCGATAACCGAGCCGCCGCAATCCTCTCAGGAGTGCCCTAATGCTGGGTGACACTGATTTAATGTCCTAAGGGCAAAAATGAATTTGCTACAGCCATATGATACACAGAGCAGAGCTGATGAATACATCAACATAGAAGGAAGAGGATAGTAATTTCAGAAACAACAATAAATGCAGCTGTACCTTTTTAAGACACTGATCATGAAACGGGTCACTAAGAAGCATTATGACAGGAGCGACGGAAAGCGTGCGTGTCTTACCGACCACTGCAGAGCAGCCACCTTGCGAAGGAGTAGTGAGGTATAATCTTCTGAATGACACTGGCCATTACCATGGTAACCACCAGCTGAACACCAATCACACCCTGGGAGGGAAGAATGTTAAATACATTTTCAAGGCACTGTTAAAACACGAAAGTGATCCAGCTCAGTCAATTTGAAATAACTTCCTCGGCCAACCTGACCCAACAATGGTTCCGCATTTCAGGCCATTAAAACTCAGCACGGATAGCCGCGAATTTGCAAAACAGCGCATGGCAGGGTAGGGCTCATTAACATTCATAAAGGACGATCTCTGCGCTACGGTGACGATCCTTGTACATCGGCACTATTGGGAAGCCCTGTTTTGCAGCACAGAACATTCTTTAATGGTTAAGATGATCTTCGCGCTACGATGCTTTTGGGAAATGCCCCAGTCTTTGTAGTGCGAAAAAGTCATTCATTCTGCTAGCTATTTGGTACCAATGGTGAAGAATATGAGGTTACCAACTAGCTAAGTAAAAAGTAATGTTAGTGTTAGAGATAAGTTGAAATATCGGTATCAGTCGATGCTCATTAAAATAAAGAACTCGGCATCTTTCCACTGTGTGGATCTCGGCTGATGCTGCCAGACAAGATTTTAATCAATATTCAAAAGTTAGCAGTGCCAGAGTTACACATGTACTAAAATAACGGCAATGACTGCGTTGGACAATCAGCCATTTTCTGTAGCGGAAGACGAGGGATTAAGTCGGCTCATTCACCACGTAGAGGACGTACCAAAGTCCCGGCCCTCAACATGTTTATAACGCATTATGAAATCTGGCTCGCAGATCGATCTTTCCTTTTCCACAGGAGGGAAAAAAAAAAATAATAATAAAAAAACGCAACATCACTCCGTAAATTTGAGCCGGCAACTCCCCAACCCCATTCAGGTAGTGCTTCCTTTAATGCGTTTGATTTTTTTTTCTTTTCTTATTTTCCCTGTTTATAAAGAACAATAAAAATTGATGTTCCAAAGATTTTACTTTCTTTTCATTCCACTAATAGTGTGTAATCATTTTCCCAAGGTAATCTGTGACTTTTTGTCAGTGACATTAAAAAGGTTTGAATTTAGGTTAACAAAATAATCAAATAATAGAATTGCGACAGAAATGACAGATTTCTGATGTATGGAATCGTTCCTTCAATCATCATCATCAATAATCAAGTTGTGTTGCGACCAACGATTTGCATCAAGGGAAATTCAGGAAGGCTTGATCGGATTTCTGACAGATTGTCAATGGCTTGTAACGTCTGCCCAGTTACAGACAAGTGAGACTTGGGGGAGAAATATCAAAGAGGGGGAGCCAAGTTCAACTGGGTCACTATACTTTGAGTATTTCAAGAAATTTACAACAAAATTACAATAGGACAGTCAACTAAATATATGTTTAACTATAAAATACTCAGATATGCGTGGTTAGCGCTGTTGCCTCACAACTCTGGGACTAGGGTTTGGTCCGCCTAGGTTACATGCATGTGGAGTTCGCATGTTGCATGTGTGGGGTTTCATCCAGGTTCTCCGGTTTCCCCCCACTGTCCAAAAGCATGCTGAGGTTAACTGGAGTTACCAAATCTCTCATAGGCTTGCATGTGTATGTGACTGGTGTGTCGGTGGCCCTGTGACGGATTGGCAAAGCAAGGAACAACCAAGGATGGGGATCTGACCAATCTAAGGACACACACACCAGTCACACAAACAATCTGGTAACTCCAATTCACCTTGGCATGTTTTTTGGACCTGAGGTGGGGGGTGGGGGGGGTGGGTGGAGAATACCGGACAAAGACAGAAAGACGACCATTCAAACATTACAGGAAACACTACAGCAGACAAGCAGGAGCTGAACGGCTACATCAGAGACATTAATCTGTAAGCCAGATTGGAAGGATAAGATTTTAAATATTTGTATAAAATTTAATAGGTGGTTCTCTTACATAAATGCCAAACTTTAGTTGTTGGTACTGAACCGAAAAACACAGCCCCCCCTCCCTGCCTAAAAAATTCAATAGATTTATTGCAGAATGTCCTGAAAAACTTCCAGGAAACTGAAGAGGGGAGAAAGGCTTAATAACGAAAGCTGGCATATGAAATAAAACAAATACTCAGTCTTCCAACACCTCAGCAAATCTAACGTTGGCAGTTTTAAAGAGCCGTGCGCCTCCAGACTCACAAAGAGGACCCAAAGATACAATTAGCCACCCAAGACTGGCCTCCAGGGAACATCTGACGACGACTGACTGTTCTCAGACACGGAATCAGCTGGACAAACCTGTCTGATTTACTGTGCCAACTTACAACAGCGGTAAGCCATTCAGGAAAACTGCTTTCGAAACAAAATCAGGGACAAGTCGAAAGTCCACAACAGCAGTGAGAATCCTTCCATCAAACTCTTCGCCCCGAGTCCACCCAAAGCCAGCTGGGAGTGTCCAGTCAGAACAACTAGGCCGTGATATGATGAAGGAACGAAGACAACAAGCAGTGTGGACTCCAAGAAGAAGCTCAGAGTGCCACTGGAGACTCAACACATGGAGCCCAAAAAAAATCAAATGACAACTGTGAAATGGTACAAGTTAAAGACCCTGAACCGGTCTATAATTAAATCCCATTTCACAAAGAAGCAAACATTATTAATGTGTGATACATTAATAGCCAAGTAATTCCAGCACATGCAATGATGGGAAAATGTGCATATAAAATTATGTGAGGACATTCATTGTTATTATAATTCTATTTAAATACATGTGTAACATCCTCGTGCTCAAAACACAACTAATTGAAAGAAACAGGATGTCAAACAGGTTGAGCAGCCCAGCTTGTCAACTGATGACAGCCATTGATACCCTCATAACCATTATAATGTCACAGTGAGCATGCGGTTCTTCCCACGAGTCTCATTGGCTAGAGGCAAGGATCACCCTAGATGGGACGCCAATCCATCTCGGGGCACACAATCAAACTGTACCACAAATTCAAAGACAAATATTCACCTAATTACCCATCTTGACTGCCAGAGGAAAGTAAAGTACCCAGAGCAAACACGAAACGCGAGACGAACAAGCAAACTCCACACACATACAGCCAGGGGCAAAAAATATCACAGTTATAATAAAAACATGTTAAAGGCAAAGTAGATAAACTAACAGTTGATGCGAAATAAAAACACACAACGAAAGAACAAGAAACATGCAACAGGCCATCTCGACATCCAGTCTGGAAGTAAAGGTTTCACTCCAATGGAACGACACAGAACATTTTCTACCATCTTCATGGAACGTTCTAGGACTGAGTGATACCACATCGATATCATATTATAATCACCAGCGCTTCAGAGAACAGGCGAAGCATTTGGCCGGACGCCAGCTTTTCAGTATTATACAGACGTTTATTTACGCCTACAATTTGTTAAATAGATTAGTAGTACAGTTAAAATATTAATGGTTAATTTTATGACACCCCAAAGATAGTAATCAGTGCAAATCCAGCACATCCTGAAGTTTAATAAGTGTGTTGAACTTAAACTGCAAAAAGTACGGCCTCCAAGGTCTTTTTACCTTGTTTACCCAGAAGATCTTCGCTTTTAAAAAACGACATGGCTGCTGAGCTGTTCCTTTCTTCACCGCCACTCCAGTCCATATAGCACTGAAGTATACCAAACCATAGTATACCGAACCTTAGTATACCGAACCATAGTATACCGACAATATTATGTGGTGAGCTCCTCTAAGCGAATTTAATGAACATAAAGATATGTCAAATTTATACAGATTATTAGCTTAAAGATTATTTAAACGCATCGCATTAATTTTTTATATAATATTGTCTTAACAGATTGAGGGCATGATAAAACGTCTGTATAGTACCGAAAAACTGGCGTCCGGCGAAATGTTTCGCCTGTCATCTGAACCCCGGTAATTACTGCGTATGCACGATGTAATATCGATGTGATATCACCCAGGTCTAGAACATTCACCTGTTAGTCACAGGGGTTTTATAACATGACATAACATGACTGACCATGACTGACATGCAGATATATACTATTTTATTTCACACCCTACTTCAGAGTTTAATCTGTGCAAAAGGCTGGTGTTTAACTACATTCAAGTACTATACACTGCACTGTGATAGAGCACCAAATCTAATTAAATCACAATTTTAAATCACAAACCTAGACTTCCAAGTATACAGACACACAGAGGAAGTCTTCAGTTAGGTTTTTGGGCTGCGTATTAAAGAATATAGGGGACAACAGGATATTTACAGTTCCTACTTCAGATAAGCATAATTCACCAAATGCCCCTTAGAGTTTGGCAGAGCAAGAACAAAATAAGGACCTTAGAGCGACTGATGACTTCTCTCTGGGGTATCTTCCCAATACCAACTCAAGTTGCACACACAAACAAAAGAAAACCTTTATTGCACAAAGGAATTTATCATCTTAAAATACATTGAATAAGACAAGACTGTCATAACAAGCCAGCCTTCCCCCCACTAGCCAATTTCCCGACGATTTCGCTGCCGTGTGAACAGTTATTCATCATGTCTCACTTTGCTGATGTGCATAATTTATAGAATGCGGTGAGGCTCTCTGCTTCTACAATTTCAGTATTACTGCCTGCTGAACCAGATCCTCCACACAGCCACCACCAGCTTTCCGGCTATATTTACATTATAGATATATAAGCAATGAGGACACTGCGATTCCACCAGCTGATGTAATTAACAGTCCAAAGGATGACCTGGCATAAACAAACACAGTGTTTTTGTTCTTGATTATATGCAGTGTTAACTCTAGAAATGATGAGCTCAAAATTATTCTGCATACTTTCACTGCTTCAACTTTTAGTTTAGGAGAACTGAATTTAGAAATGAATGAATGCTAATCGATAATGTCAATATCGAGATGATACAAGACATTATTTAAAACTGAAAACTACACGCGACAAGCAAAGGTGACCATGAAACTACTTTATTCTACAGATACAACCTTTTAAAGCAAAATAGAAAAATTCTGTCTTTTGTTCTCTAAAATAAAGTTCGATAAAGCACTTCTGATAGCAAAACAATCTTATCGCATGACCGATATGCCTAATTCATTCAAAGTGGTTTGAAATTTCAAGCTCCTAGAAAAGTTACTGAAGCTTTTTAATAAGTCCAAATGGGGGGGGGGAATTCACTGCTTTCTGGGCCACCAGCTTGCAGAAGCAAGGGTGGGTGGGTGGGAAGTCTTTGTATGAACACAGGGATTTGGCGAACTGCCACATTTTGATCGGAAGTCCAGAGTCAGGACCTTTGCGGGAGTCAGACTGGGTAGCCTGAAAAGTGCCAATTTATTCTTTAAGTACTTCCAAAGAGATAAATAATTATTTGGGCCTATCAGCACACAAAAGTGCAATGCACTGATGGGTTGGCACCACATCAGAGTATAGAGAGTCACTTAGCCTGTCCTGTTTAAGTCAAAGTGAGAGCCCAAAGAGGCACCCATGGCTGAGTAAATTAAGCCAGCATGGGATATACTTATCTGTCAGTGAACAGACCTCCCAACATAAAAAAAAAATCCAAGGGCAAAATAAGGGTGGGGGGGGGGGGGGGGGGGGGCATTTGCTGGGATTACCACCATGACTGTGTGATCAATCACTCTCTGTCCTCTATTAAAGTAGTTACCAGGAAAATCCGAAAACTTATTGTAGAAATAATGTAAGAGGAATTAGGGTCATGGGCAAAAACAACAGGAATAATTATTTTACAAGCATCAATAGTGAGGCTGTAAACAGAAAGATCTCTGCAGCAGCAGGTTCTCAAGTAAAGCTTTGTGACATTGTGACACTTTCAAAACATCCACTGAGTCCTATAACACTTTTCATAGAGAACCCCCCCCCCTCACAAAAGTCTGCAGTATAAACCTGTAGCATTACTTCTTGGTACAATTTAAAGGCAACACTAATGCATATTGTTGTTGCATATAGCATTAGCAATGAGTCTGATTCGTGAGTGATTTATATGCCATGCTGCACATTAAAAGATACGGCCATAGGAATTGACCAAAGATTAAACATAAGAATGAGAGAAGCTACAAAGAACCTAAGGACAAAAATGTGGGGAATTTAGCCTGAGATAAAAGGCTATAAGGTCACACATTTGATTCAAGATGGATGATGGAAATGGGAATTTCTGTGTGTCAGCACTATACCAACCATACAGAGATTAAACTTTACAATCCAAGGTAAATATACCTAGTATATAGCACACTATTCACAGAAACAAGACGATGGACATCATCAGTCCAAGGACCGTATGACTTAAGTTACGTAGGACGACTTACAGTAGCTGTGGATGCACTGGAGTTCATAGCTCATCTGTAGCCTGTACTACAAAGCGGGGTTACTGGCTTATCGGGGTAAGTTGTCGGATTTAAGGTGCCACAGTTTAAATGGACTTCATATTCGTTCACTTACATTTTGCCCAGGCTACCTTAAATCCGACAAGTTACCCCGATAAGCCAGTAACCCTGCTTTGTAGTACAGGCCCAAGATGATGTAGGATTCAATCTGAAGCATCCTCTCTTACATGTGACTTGTATGACACACATGAATTGAAGCTCTGATATCAAATCCATGTTTTTCCTCTCATGACGACAACTGCTAAACCAGCCAACCAACCAAAACCTTTAATGCATTAACATTTATTTATTGAGTAGACCATTTTGCCCAAATCAATATACAAGTGAGGCAAACAGAGCAATACCAGAAAACTGACTTTGCTGACTAGCAAATCACCAGCGTCTAAGAACTTATACACTTGCTCAATGTAAAAAATGTTAAGTTGGTAGTCATTGGGAAGGCAGAAGAATTACCTTAACAATATAGGTAGGAAACGGTTCACAGGGCACCAATTACCAGAGGACAATTTAAGGTCATGAATAAAGTTTAAAACCATTACCGGGGCCCTTCCAGAGAGAACTGATTGAATAAGACAAATAAAGGAAGATCTACACACATTTCACATTTTTATTTGCCATTATATGTTAGTAGTCCACTAAGCTCTACCAAGAAGATTAAAATGCAGATTAATGATTCGACCTGCTGATAATTAGCAAGCTAGTGCTCAAATTACAAGGAACAACAAAAAAAAAAAGAAAAAAAAAAAAAAAAAAAAAAAAAAAAAAACAAGCCGCTAGCCGGCTAGCATGCATACCAAGCACATCTGGCAATTGATGAATTAGCATGGCAGCTCATTACATGCCATATTTGACTGTAGTTGGGTTAGCTTGCGGACCTGGGTGTTACAGTCCCCGCAGCACAGGTGGGTAATTCCCCGCATACCTACCGAAAGCCACTTACCATGTCGGAGCAGTACGGGACCACAAGCAACACCTGCTGTCTCACTAAGCACCCCTAGCCGGAAATCCAGAGGCTCGGCGCACATAAGCCCTTTTTAAAAATTACTAATACCTAGGATGAGTAACCTTAACTGACTGCACCTTCCATTCGCATCTGTTCATACAGAATTATGCATAACTCATTCTATGTACCTCTACATTCAGTGTGTTTTCAACTGTTGTAGAGGTCACGCTCAGACTCCTGGTACTTAGCCGATTGTAGATTCGCCTGATTAAGAAGGAATAAATGTTGCGCTCCTGAGTAATGAAAAAGGAAAATAATAAATTTATTCTACCAGATATTGATTTTTACATTTATATATATATAATTTTTGTGTTTATTATGATCGATTATAGTCTCGATTTTCTTTTCGTTTTTCTTTTAGTCTGGCGTTTAAAACGGGCGACTAAAAAGGGGGAGAGGACCCTTCTGTCTCAAAAGGAGGCAGAGGTCGAGAGACACGTGATTTCATTCAGACGGTTACTGTTCGTATTTTCTATAGCAAAGATGTTAGTCTTTTGAAAATAAAAAAGTCATGATTTAAACTAGGGAAATTATATTTGCCACTGTAGTTATTTGCTGGTGCTGGTGATGTCATTGATGTTTTTTCAAATCCTATTATATGGTTGCCGGCTTTCTAGCTTACTATCGCATATATCGGTTATTACTCTTTTTTTAGAGTATGATTGTCATTAACAACAAAAAGGTTTATTGTAGAACTCATGACTAACATGCTATCCGCGATCATGCCGAGGTTAACAGTGATAGTAGCGTTAACAAAAGTTGCACTCTGTTCTTGGAAAACCACATCTATTAATGACTAATAAGTCATATAATTGCGTGTGAATACAAGAACTAAACGACTATGCATGACAAAATATGGTTTTCATATACAGATTACTGTTACAGTATAAAGGTTACTCTAAATATCAAGCTGGATCTAAGAATAAAAAATACAGATGATAATTAGTAATACTGCCTAGCTGGAAGTATAGTCAGTCCTCAAGGTGAGATAATTCTAGTGTTTGTTTAGTGGTTACAGTAGCCTAGATGTCTGTAGAAAGCCGGTCTTGATAATAGTGGGTTGTTTTTACTTCCTTATGAGACCACACAACTGTGTTTACACAATAAGGGCAAAGGAAAGACAAATTCTGTCGTATAAATGTTGGAGTTCTATAATGGTAAACTCATTCACTATTTAACTGGTGAAATGAGCAACAAAGATTTCAGCAACCTTGCTTGTAATCACTAAAACGTTAATCTCAAAGGTTATGCATCATTTTCATTACCATCATGAAGATCTTGAGGATTACATTTTAAATAAAAATAATCATCCGATACCCTGTCACTTCTTATCCTTTCATGTGTTTTTGGCAAATGCACTGTTCAAATCCTGACGAATCCACTTTTTTTTTCTTTTTTCCCCCTTCTATTAGTAAAAAGGTACTACACTGTTGAGTAATGTATACATTTTGTACAAGTCAAAGAGTTATACGCTCACAGTTGCTTCTGGATTGCTATGGGCACGTAGACTTCTGATTACTGAAACGCAGTCACTGTTGCCCCACACCTAGTCCCTGAGAAAATAGATCACATATCCATTGGCATTGTTAGGTGTCCTTAAACAAAGCTGGGGAGCTTGTTTATAAAGGGGGGGGTGCAAAAGTAGCTGTACTGTTTTTATTTTACAAAAAGTAAAGTTTTTATTTTACAAAGTTATTTTTAAAAGTAGCTTCCGAGATGAACGCCTCCAATTCATCCACTGTGTGGGGCATGCTCTCAAAAACCTTCTCCTTTACTATGCCCCCTCCCCACCCCCTAAAAATGTCCATGGGAGTCAGGTCAACTGAATGTGGGGGCCAGGCGATGCTGCAACGTTGTCCAATCAAACGCTGTGGGAAAGCTGTTGTCAAAACTGTATACCTACTTAAAAAAAAAAAAAAAAAAAACTTTGTAAAATAAAAGCTTTACTTTGTGAAATAAAAACTGTATACTGTACCTACTTTTGGCCCACCCTGTATACCATCCAACCAAGAGCAGAATTGTAAGCCTCTGTCATAAGAATACGACTAACCCTCTCTGGAAAGGGCCATAATGACAACAACAAGAACAACAACAACAAGAACAACAACACAACAATAATAATGATAATATCCACCAATGTGGCCATTGGTGACTCAGTGCACCATTGTTACTCATCACTGGCAGACTCATCTGCAGCATTCATTCAGCCACCTCAAGCTGCTCATATTTATTCATATTTATTTACCCACTATATTATAAGCTTATTTGCACATACCCAAAAGCTGTTTCTACTCTACAACTGATTGTCTGACCTTATGCTTATTTATTAATATTATTTGTATGTTATTAATATTATGAATAATATTTATGTCTCTTATTTTTATTCAATTTTTTTTTTGTCTTTTATCTTAATTTTATGTTTAATTGTCTACTTCATTCTACCACCTGCACCAAAAAAAATGCACATGTTGTATTTGGTGAATAAAAGGATTTTGATTCAAGGTGTCCAGTTGTGCTCATTAATGTGTAAGGAGGCATGCAAATTTTGATAGCTGGCACTTAATAATGTAACTAAATGCTACACAAAGTGAAGCATTTAACTAACATCCTGTTCTATAAAAAATAATGAAGCTGTCATTAGTTTGTTTCTTAGAGTTTCTTCTGAAGTAAAATTCTTTATGTGATACAAATGTCTCATCCTCTGATCTCAAATATAGGGGAAAGTTGGTGAATGTTTGCTTGTTTCTTTGCTTGCTTGTGTTTGTGTGTCTTGCAAGCCCGTCTATGATGCTTTGACAGCAAAGGTATGTCTTAAACTCGCTGATAAGAAATCAAGGTCAAGAGGAAGCAGCTGCAGTAGCTGACCAGCCTGCTTTCTTAATAAAAATGTAAAGGGGGGGGGGGGGGGTTGTCACATGTCAGTAAGGCCCAAGGGGAGTTCTCTAAGGGGCTGGGCAGAGCCTCACCCTTTTCCAGCAGGTTTGCTGGGGTGTTTTAGGTGACACTGAGCTCCTTCTGAGAACTTGTACACCTCTAGCCCTCATCGTAAGCCAACCTGCTGCTTCATTGTAGAGATTTAATGAAGAAGGAGGTGTCCAGAGACCTGAAGACTTTTATCCCCATCAGTTGTATGTAATCCACATCTGCCAATCAGACAGACAGCCCCTTTTCTCTGTTTGAAATGCTGCAAGGCTAATATGGTGAGATGTACGTATGTTTATACAAGTGCTATACAGTAGTGTATGTATGTGTATACAAAACACTAGGGTATACAAAATAGACATTTAAGTCCTCCAAATGTGAAACATGGATATTTGTGCAATCATAATTATATCATGTACTAATTATGTGTTTCACATTCAGTGATCACAAAAGATAATAGTCTTATTATTATTTATTTTAATATAAAATAGTAACCATCTAGGGAAATCAAAATGGTACATCATCATTATACACAGTGCATCTTGGGAAAATTCCAGAAAAAAAGGGCTGCTGTTCTTCTAAACAATAAAACTTGCAACAAACCCAACAATACGCATATTTGTCTTTAAGATTATAAAATCTCGTTCTAATTAACTTTACTGTTTTTCACATTTGAGTAGAGGTGAGTTTCATATAAATAATAATAATAATAATAATAATAATAATAACAATAATATAGTACGTGTGTGTGTGCGTGCGTGCTCTGATAGTGTCATTGGCATTGGGTTAACATAATCTAGGATTTTTCATACAAATTAAAATAGGACCTCATTTTTATACAATATTTAACAAATAGATTATTTAATTCACAGGACACACGGTGTTTTTGTGCAGCGAGTTGTTGGACCGGCAGTCCCTGTTTTAATCGGCGCCGTGCTGATAAGAGCCTAAAACGTCGTAAGCCGGTATTCCGGTTTATTTAATCACAATAAGTATAACACTCGAATTTATCAAGTCAAGAAAAATGAATGCCTTTCACAATACCACCGCTTTGATTCAGTCAAAAAGAAGTCCGTTTTAATCCTGATACAAAGATAACCCTTTCTTGGATAATGTGTGAGCACTTGTTGTGCTGCCCGGGGGTCAGATAACAGGATTTGGAGGGACAGGCTGCGCTCTGATGTCTGCGCCCAGCGGAGCCGCGCTTCACCCAGACCGTGTTCATCTGCATTCATGGGGACGCGCCTGCTGCTTGGGCAAACCCAAGGGCGACTGAGAGACCCTGCAAACTCCACCGTGACTCGGGGTGCGTCCTGCTTTAGCGGGACCTCCGCTGTGATCAACCATGCAAACTGACCCAAATATGGAATACAAGTTTTGAGTGGATAGCCGCTATGTTATTCATGGATAGCTACTATATTATTAATAGATAATTATTCTACGTTAGAAACGGCCTCTCATTCAGAAACATGTTACATATACAATCCTTTTCTGAGAGTCCAAAAGCCAATCTGCCTGCAGACAAAACTGCGTCCTTTAATTTTGCACCTGCCTTGCAAATCATATAAGGCGAAATAAGGATTCGAAGAATGTTGTGTGGCGTTTCGATTTAAGTTTTGCCTAATATACACATTTTCATAGCCGTAGTGCCATCTCCAAATAAAACAACGTAGGCTACGCTTCTTGGAACGTTTGTCGTGTGTTTCTTCTGATGGCGTTGATCTTGCTAAGAAGAAGGTCATTTCTTTATAATCGCATGAAGTAGACTATTTGATTAATGTTACGTTATTGCATATATATATATATATACACACACTCACACATACACACATTAATCAAACAGTCTAGTTTATACGATTATAAAGAAATAACCTAGTTAATTCTCTTAGCAAGATTAACACCATCAGGAGAAACACACATACATTCCAAGAAGAGTGTGTGTGTGCGTATATTATATTATATATATATATATATATATATATATATATATATATGATTTGCTTTCCTTAAATATGAATTCCTGGAAAAATATGCGCAAAATACGTCCCCCCCACCCCCTCTGCGTTCTGCGTTTGTCTATGCCTGGCTATTGCGAACTCATTAAAATCTAAATTTCCCATTGGACAGTGGATAATTAAATGACACTCGAAATGCAAGGCCTGGTAAATTATTTGTTAGTTAACGAAGTAATCAGAGTGCTTTTGTTAAATGAGGGCCTAGCTTGGTGAATCCACTGCAAGAAAAAGACGTGTTTCCAGAAGAGACTTCACAATGGAATGGTTAATAAAGGTGAGTGCACAGATTGCAGAGTTTAATATGTGCATTATACATAAAATGTATTATAATCGCCTTGGAAATATCAGATAAATTCTTTACTTGTGCGAAACTGCGATTCCTTTGTTTCGTGAAATAGTGCAGCGATTAGCCTATAAATAATGTACAGTACTTCTGCGTTTCAATGGGCCTACTTGGTTCAAAGAGCTGAAGTAGGCGTATATGCCATACGAAATATGAAATAATAAATAAGTACTTAAATGAAAGCATTTTTATATCATCTGATATTTTTGACTACAAATATCATTACAAACTTAAATATATGGCAGGGCAACGTAAAAGCTGAAAACTTATTTATAACGTTACGGATTAATGAAACTTAGGTTTCGGATTTTGTATAGCATTAAACTAGTTATTCCAAAACGGAAAAGTGAATTTTTCAATGTATTTTGTATTACACTGTTAATGTTCTGTTTACGGAGTAAGCTAATGGCTTTTTTATGTATTTGGAAAAAATATAAATTTTATATCACCCTTTTTATTGAGACTACAGTTAATATTTTTTATTACCAAAACTTCCGCTGAATGCAGCACCTTTTGAAATGCATGTTGAGAAATTCGTTAAATACTAAGCATGATTATTTAATCTGATCTGTAATTTATAGTCTTCATTTTAAATTATGTAAGTTTACAGTTATACACAATTATACAATGCATTGGCATTTCAGTCTTATGTTTAGGTAATGCATTCATAAAATAAATTTCTCTATGGGGTTAAAACAATTTGTACACTTTTTTGCATTAGCTTATCGTGTTTTGATAGTGAATAGAAGTGTGAAAAAGATCATCGACAGTGCAAACAGGTAGCCTACTATCCCTGAGTAACCTACTTTAGGACAACGGGGGATCAGAAGTAGCATAATATTGAACATTTCACTGGAAAATTTACTTTGTTTAATTTCAGTGGCCTGCAACTATCCGATTTCAACCTTAATAGTTATTTAATGTAAGAAAATAGCCATGTAGCGACATTTCAAAAAGAAAGTTCTGGGTTCACATTGAGTTCGGTTGTGTTTCATACAAATACGTGCTTCTTATGACGGGTGCATGACAATGTCAGTGAAGTCGGATTGCATGTGGTTCACAATTACAAATCAGTTTCGATGCATCGGGACATTTATACAATCCTGCAAGCACTTAACTTTGACATTTTGACAACTGGATAGCAGGAAATATTCTTTTGGGAAATTTTTGGGAAATTCACTTGTGAATGATTCAAAATGGCGATGTAGGCCTGTCTTGAAAAGAATAGAATTTCTGATTTCGGTAAAGAAAAGTTTTGCTTACACTTTAAATGTTTTAAAGCGATTACGATAAAGATGGTGATGATAACATTTGTTATTATGAAATTGCAACAGTAATGATGATAATGGTAATAATAGTAGGTTATTATGAGTTTTGTTTAATTTTTTAAACAAACATTTGCCTGACATGACACTGAGCACAAACTTTTACATATTGTGTTTGATAATGATAATTCATCAAACTGATGTTTTTGCATTAAATAGGAGACAGCTTGTATACAAATGGTCAGAACTTATTGGTGCATATAGTTGATTATTTGCATATTAAATATGTTATATACGTTTTTCAGTGATTTTTCTACATTCACATATCTCCTGTTACAAATGACCACCCAGAGAATAGAGTTTCACTAAACGTCCAAAATGGGTTATTTGTGCCTGTGGCACTCAATGCCTCACATACACACACTTGCAGAAGAAAATCTTTTAAAGTGTAACCTTGGCCTTTGAAAAGAGCACTTGTTGTCTTTCTGTTTTTTCCCTGTAACATCTATTCTTTATATTATCTAAACCTGAGTAGAGTTTGACTTGAGTATAAGACCAGTCCCCACAAACTAACATTATAAGAAGAATAGCGGCAATACAAGTCATATTTGTTGAAAATGTTTCTTTTTTACCGGTTCATGCTGGGAAGAAGAAAAAAAAATGTGTTAAACTCAAACCAGAGATGGTTTTTGGAGAAGAGGGGATGACAACTTATTGAAAGTTCTCAAGGAATCATTTCTATTTCACCCTTCAGTGGGCAGCTGATTTGAGATTGTGTGTTAGCATAACAAAGGCGTTGGGGCCTGTGAACTTGGGGAACCTTTCGACCTCGGAGCTCCCAGGATGAATGGGCTCCCGGGTCTGTCTATAGAACTCTTCCGCAACTCCCCTCTTCGTGGCTAAATTCTTAATCAGGGTAATTTAATATAGTTTTCAATATGCCTCATCTAGCGTTGGGAAAGCATTCACAGAATAATTCACCCCGCCCCCCCCAAGCCCGCCACCCATTCAGCTCGGCGAGACGGGCAGCTGCAGACTCCGGCCTTTGAATTGAAATGTACCAATATCAACAACACCGACGGGGGGGAAAAAAAACACAAGTGCCGGGGTGGGGGGGCGGTATTGTGGGGTGCGAGCTATGAAGGAACAAGGCTGCCCTCCAACTCGATGGAACGTGAAACCCTTTCAACCACATCTAACTCCCAGAATGGGCCCGACTTAACTTGCCGGTGACAAACCACCGAGTCGATGGCGCCCCGCGTGACAAGCACTTTCCTGTTTACATACGCTGGCGGGAAAACCGCTTGGGGCTGAGTGCACCTCTGTGGCAGAGACTGTCTCGGTAAACCCCGGCGTACAAACCGCCACAAATGGTGTTTAGTTAGTGCAGTGAGGGGGGTGTGGGTAGGGGAATGTAGCCAGGCAACCCAGTCTGAGCTGCGCCACCTATTCTTGGTGTATTAGCTAGCTTCAGAGCTTCAGTCGTTAGCTGCACTGCTTCTTTCAGATGTCAGCCATTGTGAAGATTTTTTTTTTTCCACTCCGGTCACTCTGCATTGTTCCATGACGGTTATACGCTTTGCCGTCCAAGTACTTTACGTGATGTAAACATTTTCCTTTCTAGTTAGCCCTTATTATGCACAAAAGTACTTTGGCTCAGTTTTATTTTTTTTTCCTCAGGAGACAATGTGTGTATCGAGGTGTGTCTGGTTTGGGCCGTATGGATACTATTGTCAGTACCACAGTGCAGGTGTGGTCTCTGCGTGTGGCCAGGTTTTTAACTCCAAAAGATTTTGTGAAGACCCACAATTTAGATTAATTTCAGTTAAGACTGAAATGACAGATGTGCTGCTTAAGTATATACATTTAAGAATCTAAGTGTCTCCTTATTGTGTGCTGTAGTATTTGTTATTCTCTCTTTCTGTTGTGTCTGTGCTACTTATCCTGCTCTGCACACCCACACACCCCTTAACCAAAAACAAGTAGGAAAGATTTGCCCGTTTTGTTTCTTCGAATGTTAGGTAATGTTTTTTATTATTATTTTATAATAATTCTATTATTATTATCATGCTGTCAAGTTGATGTTGATTCCCAGCGATCACAGAGGTGACATTTCTGGGAATTTTTGAATGTTTTTGTCCTTTGGGTCTTCAGGGCTCCGGAGTATTTGTTCATCGCGTTGATGATTCAGTTGTTACTTCTCATCATTGTATTTCATTTAGCATTTTTTTTTTTAAACCTTATGAACCATTCTGTACTCTGCAAGATGGCAGGAGTTTGGACATCGCGGATCAGGGCTCGGGTGAGGAGCACATTCCTTCATTCAGCTGTGCCATCATATAGGTCTGGGTTCTCCGTGCCATATGTCATATAAGTCTGGATTCTCCCAGAACATTTGTCCAGAGCTTGATGCTCAGCGCCCCCCCAGCCCCATCATAGCCCTTACCAGCACTTCCACCACCTTCAGCTAACCTCACCTCCAGTCCTGTCCAGGGCTGTATTCCTCCGACACACATTGTTTGGAGAGCAGGGTTAGGCTCAGCCAGCCCCGGCAGCACTTGGGGTTAAGGGCCTTGCTCAGCAGCCCAATGGTGACGTCACTCTGCTGACCCTGGGATTTGAACTGGAGACCTTCCAAGGCTCCGTGTCCTGACCCACGGAGCCACACTCATGCTGTAATTTCTCTCCATCCATCCATCCAGCCACATTTTCTGAATATCTTATTCAATGAATGGTCTCTGTAAGTTTGGAGCCTATCCCAGGAAACATTGGCAATAAAATAAGGTACACCCTGGGTAGATACCATTACACTGCAAGGCACATTATATTGCATGCATTTTTTTCATAATAATTGTGCTAAATTCAGCATTCTACTTGAATGACAATATGTTGTAATTTAGATATATATTTTAGAATTATAAAAATTGAATTTCTATTCAAATCTCAGTACAACTGACTATAGCTGAGACCATCTCAGTGAAAATGTTATTTTATCCAGACATTGTACCATAATTTAATACATTTAATGAATATGGATCGTCCTAGCAATATGGATTTTAATTTAAATAGATTTCTCTTTCTATGCAGTAGAACATTTTACTGGATGAAAAACATTTCATTCTTATTTCAAGCCAAACAGTTACTGATTTTTCAGTAGAGTATACTGAAACTGTATTACTATATATATATATCTATTACTACATATATTACTACTGCAGGAAATATAAGTATATATGTAATTGTTTAAGAAATTTAATTATGTATGAACAGTTTATATGCTGCATTTTAATGATAAACTTATATTTGCAGATATTAGAAACTATCATAACTGACTACATAAAACATCCATCCATCCATCCATGCATCTTCTTAGACTGATAGTCCAGTACAGAGGGGCAGAGAGCATGGAAATCTCTGCTAGGAAACACAGGGCATATGGCAGGGGGAATCGTGAATATGACGCTTATCCATCAAAAGGCACAACTATAGAAAACAGACAAGTTCTAGTTATTCTCCTTTACATTGTTATAGTTTACGGTGACCTTGATCTCATGCTTATCTTGATTACTGGTTGCATGGTAAACCACAGTAAAATTCCCAACAGTTAGTATACCATTTCAAATTTTGACTATCATTAAAAACTGTGGTTTATTACTACGCTTTGGAAAAACACTTTAAATCCGGTAAAGCAGTGACCAAAGTTAGCGACAGTCTCCCAGACGCAGGTGTGCAGGTACAGTATTCAACTTGGGCTTGTTTTGTGTCGGTGTAAACATGGTAAACATGGTGGAAGGCAGCAACAGGGCTCTGGAGATTTTTAACGTTTGTATACAAGCACATTTCTATGCAAACTGTCTCCTATTTTTTATACTCATTTGATATTATTTTCATATATTTGCATAAAGTATTGGCTGTATGTTATTGTAATGCTTATGCAACCAAAAAGTACGTCGTGCTGCTAGTTTTATTTGTGGTTTTCTATGTAAAACTTGGTGAAACGATTTCAGTTTTTGTATCGGTACTTTTTAATCATTTTCAGCACATTTTAACAATATCACGATGACACTGATAACCGTGATAATTGCGGTTACTATAATCGTGATATAAAATTTTCATATCGTTTCCTCTCTAGTGGCCACATTAAGCCGAGATGGCCAGAGTCCCTCCATCCCGGCACCAGTTGCATATTCTGGAAAGCCTAATAGGCGGCCATGTTTCTGCTTGGATGAGGCTGTCACGGCGGTGCCATGTGGTAGCGTTGTGTGCTAACGCCGGGTGCAGCAAGGGCTGAGGTAAGACTGAGCTCTGGAGTGATGAGTCACTCCGCTAGGACCTGATAGGCTAAGTCACTTGAGTCACCTTAAAGTTGAAAGGGTAGCCATTCGCTTCCATTAATAGTGCGTGAAACAGGGGTGATTTAATCTCCCTTGATGTGACAGCGACTGAGATGGGGCCGTTGTTGGGAGATGACTTGTAGCTCCGTCTCGCTACTTTGTGGCCTAGCCCCAGTGGATGTGGACATCGTGAGGGTTGTGGACATTACTTTTCTACAGTAACAGGTGCACTGTGAGTGCTTGAGGAGAGAAACGTGGGCCTGCAGAGAATTAATCATCTTTTGCTGTAAGTCAGGCAGGTTGCAGAGTTCAGCGCCGTGTCTATCACAGGGGATGGATGTCATATTACCGCAGAGGTCAGGTGCCATTGCTTACAAATGATGGCTGCTGTTCTGGCTAAGTTTGGGGCGTTGCTTGGAAGTTTGAAATATGTTTTCTGACCAATCAGAACACCCAAAGTCAGATAAGAGAGCTTCAAATTTTCGCAGAGAATGAGGCCATTTTGTCTAGTCTTGACCATTTAAATGTATTTTTTTCTTCTTTTGTTACTGTTAGTGAAATAGGTCAGTGTTACCATGGAGTGTGATTGTCAAAGTGATTTTAGGGCATTCGATACTTATCTAAATGAGTGATGAATGCCAAGGATTCTCATAAAAATAGCAGAAGTACATTATTTCTCAATGACTTGCAGTGATTTCAGGCTTACAGAGTGAGCTTGCTTTGGTCCATATACAAAGCCTCAAAAGTAAATTGTGTTTGAAATCAAAATAAACTAAATTATATAGCAGAATATCAGGCTCTATTACACTTTCCTCTAGATGTATTATAAAGAATGAATTTGATTGATAGAATGCAGCAAACCAGTGAGTTATATTTATAGAAAAACTAATAAATATATAGACTTTTATCCACTGGTGAATTAACTGTCAGAAGCAAAGGATTTTATGTGTATGTTATTTTTTAAGTTTTTCTTTAGTTATTAAAAGTTTGGACAGCATGTAACGTAAGTCATTGGAGACTTAGGTGACAAAAACTGGAGCTTGAAGAGACGATTAGTGTAGAATCCCCATCCTCAAGACTGACTGAAAGGGTTCCTGTCTCACTCTGTATCATCCTATTTCATGCCTGTTACCAATCACCAGCAATGTTAACAAATAGTAATCAGAGTGAAGAATCAATCAGTTTACTAGCAATTAATTATCAGGAACAAAATAAAATTTACTTGACAGTTGGTCTACTAATACCAATTAGAAAAGATATTTAATTTGAGCCTCAAACTCCAAAGGAGGCTTTTCAGCTAGAAATAAGGTGGTGTGTTGATAGGAGAAACATTAGTTAATAATATTTCATCCGTTTCCATATTTATTATGTAGTACAGAGTGTGTCTGAGGAAACACGGGTTCGAGGCGAGATACGCCACTGGCAGTGAGCACTGTGCACTATGGACAATTCAGAAATGCCAGTTCACCTAACTGCTGTGTTTATGAACATAGGAGTGCCTAGAAGAAACACAGACAGACGTGGTGATGCTGCATACTCAGAGCCAGGGCCAACATTAATAATAATACTAATAATATTAATATATATATATGCACTGGGTTGTTATGACTAGATGGTGCGCTTTCAGCCTCAGAAAGACTGGCATATTGAATGCACAAAGAAAACAGCATGATGAATATTGATTGTAAGTAGCTGAACAGGACGAATTCTTTAAGTTAGAATTAAGCGAAAATCCAGAGTCGGCATGGCTGCCATCTACAGTCAAGGTCTGGTCACCCTCATCGCCTTGATAAGCAGTGCGATATCTGCCTGCCTGCTCCCTTTGTGGAGAGAGAGTAAGACTCATAACCCGAGTACACACAGGGATTTTGGGTCCGATTTGCATATTCGGCAGCCGTGTCACGTTTGTGCGGGATAGTCTGAGTGCAGCGTAATCCTTAACCGCGCAAAATGGGGAATAGGGCATGTTCCCCAGGGAGGGAGGGACAGTTCATTGAACATGGGTGTTTTTTCTCTGTCTCGACTGCTGATGTCTAGGTAATAATACTGTCTAGGGCATGTCTGAATCTTTTTTTATTGCTTATCATGTTTTTAGCTCATTACTTATCAGCACAAAGCATGAGAGCACAATCCCTCCTACTAGGTATAACTGAATTAGCGCACATTTACAAGCACTGTGCTAAAGCATGGATTTCATGGGGAACAACTGGTCTGGGCAAATTGAAGTATTATTGTGTATTGTCATATTATTGTCCATGTTATTTTTAACTTGACAAAGGTTATATACATTTAATTACTGTTGCAGGTGACATGTTAAAGATTTTACCTTTGTCTATTTTGAATTTTTTAATTTTGCGTATAACAAAATCATCACACTTAATTCAATTTTATTATGTGCCTGAATTATTATACAATTATTTTTCTGCAGTGTTTTATTTCCAGCACTATGTTCAGCGCAAAAATAGTTGCATCAAAGTATATTTGTTTTTATTTAAAGTTCAGACACAACAGAATGAGCTGATGGGTGTTTAATAATTATGGAGTAAATACGTCTGACAGGGTGCGGGCAGGAGGCACAGCCGCAGACGTCAGAACAATGCCATTATAGTCCCTCTGGGGGAACCCCAATTCAAATACGCTCAGATTGAGGTGCCCCGAATGTCTAGACGATCCTTCTTTTGTGGCCCGGACACCTTTTCTCTGCGTCCCCCATCCCGTCTGAATGCGTGAGCTTGACCTGTGCTTGACCTGCGCTGTCCCAGCCGCCTCTCCGTGGGAACGGTGGGAGAGTTCAGCCTGGCTGCGGGTCCCGGGACAGACCCATATTAAGGCAGAGCGGCAAGGTTTCTGCTCAGCGATGATCCAGCGCAAAGCAATGAAATGACACCTTTAACTGAAATGTTCCCTCCTCTGCTCATTTCTGCTTCTCTCTCCTTCGCTGTCTCTTCTCGTGCTTAATTTTTTATTTGTTTCATGGATGCTGTCATGAAACTGAACACCCTGAATTATTGAGAAGTTTTCTTAGCTAGTAAAATTGGATAAATTATTACACGTGCTTTGTTTACTAGAAGCAAAATTGATTGACCTAAAATTCTACATAAAGATTATCACGCAAAATCCTGCCCCTGCTTAACCACAATCCTATTTAAATTATCCAAAGACATGAATGTATTAATTATTGGCCAAAAACAACAATAATTAGCTAATGAAATGCAGTGTAATTGATAGAAATGTACTGATAAAAACACTCACGCTTGTCCATTTATTCCCATGCAAAGAATCCAGGTATTTTTCTCCAAAATGACATTTGAAATACGAATGTATAAAAAATACAGCATTTCGTGCTATGAGTAAAAGGGGAAGGTCATAGCAAATGCCCCGTTGTTTCTTATGTAGCACTACAAAGCACTACAAAAGCACCCGTTAAATAAACAATGCCATGAAATAGCATGAACAGAGCACATTTTTAAGAACTCGGGTCAGGAAAGGTGCTTTTTGAACACAGGGGGCAAAGTGAATTTTAAAGAGGTACGATTTGAGTCCTGCCTGGAAGGCGTTTTCCAGAACAGGGTATAACCTACAGTTTAGTCTGGGAACAGAGGTCAATCCAGCCCATAGAGGCCAAAAGCAGAATAAAATAAGAACTCTAATTATGAAGATGTCTAATCAGCTTCACCATCACAAATTAAACCTTAAATGGTGCCATTAGCATGAAAGGTCTGTGTGGAGATATTTAATGTCAGCAGCAGGCGAATTTGGAATAAATCGAGATGAATTTGGAGTGACGTTCTGGAGGTAGCACCGCTGTGAAACTTCAGTTTAACCTCCCTTGACCCGGGGCGTGTTGGTGCCAGGCTGGCAGGTCGCTGGCTCGCGTGGGCTGTGTTCAGAGCAGATGTGTTCAGAGCAGCCACCCGGAACTGTTTTTTCACCTTGGCTAGTGGAAAGCGGCGAGCAGAGGCACCTGTATAACCTAGATAGGGTGCGACTGCAATGCTGCGGGGCGCGTGCTAATTGAAAGGCAGGAAGTGATGTCGGTGCCGCTGCAGGGCTCTCTGGGAGAACAAAGGAAGCAGCGAAGCAGGTGGGTTAAACGGTGACATGCGCTTTCGATTTGAGGGGCGATCTGAGGGCGTCTCCCCGTCGTACATCACGGGGAAAACACACGTTTTGTCTCCAGATGTTTACAAATGTCAGGGCAGATTTTGAAGCAAAAAACAGACCTTCTGGGTCAAGGAATAAATCCAACACGACTTAAATTACACATTATTTACAAATATACATGCAATGATTTAAGAACACCAGATGTCTTTTTCTCTAGGAGAGTTAGAAGATTTTTCCTTCGCGAAATGGTAACCCTGTTTAAGTCTCAGGACTCTTCAGAAGGGTTCGAGCAGCCAAGCAGCGGTAAAGGTCACCAGACCTTAGGAATGGGTTTTCCTCTCTTTTCATTGGTGAATCACAACCTTGCTCCTCACTGGCTAGAAATAACCTTCAGCAAAGGAGGAGACGTGTCTCTGAAGTGATGGGAGGTAGGGTGAGAGAAGGCTGAATGCTACGTTTGCCAAGCGCTGAGCTTTCCACTGACACGCTCCCATTCGTTGCGTTGCTGTTACGTGTTGATTTCAATCAGATTTGACTGATCTGCTCTACAAAGGCTAAGCATAGTAACTGCATGATTTTTTTAATCTTATCAAAATTGAGTTATGACTGAAATCAGGCCTCTCAAGGCTCCGTTTTATCTTGTGACAAAATTTCAGAATTGGACTACGCTCGGTTTGGAAGAAAACAGTGTGAAAATTACACCAACTACAAGATCCACAATAAAAGCAAAAGCAAAACACTCTGTTTCTCAGTTTCAGTGTCGGCGTAATTACTGTGTTTTGCCTTCGTAGGACAGTAATCTCTCATCTTTTTCCTGTCTTAGAACCGGTGGAAAGGGAGACACTTAGGAACTTGGGCAAGCGGCTGCGCAGCCTGATGGCGAAAACGGAAAACGGAAAGGCTCAAGGGCAACTTTTATCCTCAGACCGTCAGGATGCTGAACTCTGACATGCCAACAAACACCCAAACCTAAAAGTCAAGCCCACCCGACTTACTGCACGGTCACTTTATATCTAAGTCACTTTATATTATATTTAATTAATTCCATTTTCTCTTCTGGTAACATTATTTTACTGTATTATGTGTTGCTTTGGAGCTGGCTAGCTTTGTATTTCACTGCACATTGTACCTGTATAACTGTATATGTGACAAATAAACTTGAAAATGATATGCTATGGCTCTAGCTCTTTGTTTGTTAGTCACTTAAGTTTGTGCATTTCTTTAAATGGAACTTACCATAATATAACATTATATTTCCTAGACCATTACTTCTTCAGTCTCTTTAAACATTAACACTTAAGCAGGTCACCCTGTCCACATTCGCTTTACTTTAAAGCACGCATCTTAAAAAGTCAGTCACCTTATTGGGCTACACAGGAACCAGCCACTTCCAAGGGGAATGTATACTTTTGCAACAAATAGCAGATCTATGGTTGTGCATGTGAGAGGGACAGACCCTTCAAATATCCTGCACATGGATAGGAAACATCGGAGATAGAATGCACGCTAAATATAGATAAGATGTTTATAAAGGCCTGTTCAAGCGAAGTTTCGGCAGGTCCAGCAGGAGGTCATGTGTGATAAGGGTCCTGGGGAATAGGCTTCTCATGCCTTTGGTGCGACTTAACACACGGTCTCTTTGCTAACTGTGTTAAGTCGCCAGAGGATCTCTGAATCCATCACATTCTGAAGCAGCAGACCAAAGGAAGCAAATCAGCGGAGTCTAAAATGAAGCAATGTGTCTCGACAAAAAAGCAGCATCAAGACCTAAATATTTAACCTCTAAGCTAGAATTCCATGAGAAATTTCAAGTCAAATTCTAATACAATTTTCAGTTGAACTTAAATACTGGTTAGACCCTGTACCACTATCAGTACCAGTATACCCTCCGGTGATGTAGTAGCGCTTTCCAGTTGAAAGTAGTTTTTACGGACCGATAAAGTCTAACAGACTCGAAAGGAATTTCTATTTGGGAAGTGACTGAAGTTTTGTGTTCCTCAGACCCGAGTTGCATGCCGCACATGTTCCTCGGTCTAGGGGGCATCTGCAGTGCGGGGGCTGCTTCTTAGGCTGCAGAACCTGACGTCCGCTCTTTATTGGCCCTGTTTGTCACTCCGTGGAACCAGAACCAGAGCGGAGTGTGTCTGCCCTGATAGGCCTGGCAGACTGGACGCTTTGTAATGCTGTGATTTCTCCTTAGCTGGCCGTGGAGAATCTCACACCATGTTCACTTCCCCACTAGAGAGATTGGAGGGAATAAAAGGGGGGGAATATGTTAGTTCACGGTAAGGAGGAGTTCTGCCCTGCCCTGCACTGGGTGACAATCATATATATATTTGTGTTAAAAGATGTTTGTTTAGAGCTTAGTCGGTGGATTGATTCACGTGTGGATGTGGACTGGCGATCAGTATGTGGGAATCAGAGGATGTCGCTTGTGGTCTGCAGGATGTTTTGTGGGGGTGGTTGGGTCTCAGGGACACACCCGCTCTACTCACCTGTGAAAAAATGTACTTAGAGGGGAAGGGGAGTTCTCTGGGTGTTAGAAAGAGAGTGTGTCTGAAAGCAATGGGCTCTCCTGCTTTTATGATTTACTCAGGGAAGCCAGAGGCAAAAACAAACATGTTCTGTGGGTTGTTTGGATGACCTTCGTGGCCTGGCGTGGGGATGGGTGGGACCGAGGGGGTCTCTGGGATAGGGACCCGGCCCTCGGGGGCTCCACCCTCACCTACTACTCCGAGGGTGCAAGTAAAATGGCCCCATTCCATCCTCCAGTCCCCCCATCCAGTGGATCTGCTCCCTGTCATGAAAAACAGTTTGATTTTCTTTCTAGTGCGGAAATGTATGGTATTAGAGGTCTGGAAGTCCAGTTTCATGCTGACTTGTGCAAAGCATTACCGAGCATGGCGAGAGACACCTAGACTGTTAAGTAAGCTGTGAGGAGAATTTGTTGCTTCGATGTATGGCCCCACATTTTTGAATGTTAATGAAATAAAAGCTTATTACTTTGTATTTAATGCACAATGATCCATAATCAAATGAGCACATGCCACATTTAAACTAGGTTTAAACCCCTAGCAATACTGTGGTGATTAGTTTTTATTGATACCTGTGCATTGGGTTTGCTTATTATTGAATACTGCATTAAGGATTAATGATTACTAGTGCTGTCAAACGATTAAAATTTTTAATCAGATTAATCATAGGGTTGCTGTGGATTAATTTCGATTAATCACTATTAAATATCTTTTATTTTTAATCTATATTAATCACATTTCATTTTGCATGAGCAAACAGACTCAATAAAAAAGGGAATATATATGCACTTAACATATTTATTGAACATCTTGAACACGAGTCGGATGCATTCCATCTGCCACAGAAGTGCAATACCATGGACCCATATCAAAAAGCAAGATTTTTTGCTTAGCCGGACAACTTGTCGGATTTAAGGGACCTCAGTTTAAATGGCCTTTATCTTTGTTCACTTACAATTAGCCCGAACTACCATAAATCCGACAAATAATCCGACTAATCATGAAATCCAATTCTAGCCCAGTTAATTGCCATTGTTAGCAATATCAGTTAATAACAGATTACACGCGGTGCTTTACGTACAAAACATAGCAACACGTCCACAGATAAGGTGGACGGTATAGTGTGCGCGACCGATTTAATGAGCCACAAATGAGAAGCAGTGCTTAAACAGTATAAAACTACAACTTTCCCTTCTGTTGATAAAAGGTGCAGCCATCTTGGATTCTGAACTCGTGAATCGGGATCCTCTGTGCTGCTCCGAATTTCTCAGATCTCCAAGAAACGGAAGCGCGCATGTCGTCACTTCTGGCTTCAAAATACGAGTTCCGAGGGCAAATGGAAGGCACCAAAACTGCCCGAAATGGGTTGACAGAGACATTTCAGGGATTTTGATTCATTCTACGCTGCAGATGGGTTAATTGCGTAAATTTTTTTAATCAGATTAATCATGATGATGGATTAATCCGCGTTAACCCATTCATTTTGACAGCCCTAATGATTACATAATTTTTTTTAAAATGCCTTCAGTGTTGGGGATCTGATTTCCACTCCCATATCCCAGTGTACGTATTTTGCATGTTCTCCCGGCATCTGAGTATCTCCCACCTTATGCCCTGTGACGGCCTAACATCCACTCTGAGTACCTCCCACCTTGTGCCCTGTGACGGCCTAACATCCACTCTGAGTACCTCCCACCTTGTGCCCTGTGACGGCCTAACATCCACTCTGAGTACCTCCCACCTT